GTGACAATGAAACGGTCACAGGTCGGCTCAGTAGATCGGGAATTGAGCGAACACATACCGTCGCTCGCTCACTTCTCGATCTATCCCTGCAGAGAGCTGTGACTGTCACTCACGACTCCGTGCAGGGATTCCCCCCTCCCCTGTCCGATCCTCCGGCACTGACTGGGGAGGGGGCGGGGCACAGCTGGCTCTGCCTCTGGATAGACAGAGCCAGCTGTCAATTCCGCAGCTGGGTGGATCTCGACAGCAATGTCTGGATCCGTCCCGGCTGCGGCGTCTCAGTATAGCTCGCGGTATACTGAGCTTTGGGTCACGGGAGAACGCTAGTTTGTGTTCTCCCGTTACCCTTAGGAGAACTTTGGGGAAAATACCTGACCTTTTAAAAAAAAAAACCTATACATACCCTTTTCTTGCACTCTTTTAGCTGCTCTGATGACACCATCAGAGCTTCCGCATCATCCCACTTCTGCCATTCCTTCTGGAGTGAGCGGTGCCCATGTAATAACTTGTGAGTGTCGACCATTCCTTGAGCACTGTGAGCCCAGCCTGTGTGCTGATGCATCCCTAGTGGAATATTACAATGGCAGGCTGGACTTGCATATGGCTAGAATTATGTGAGTGGTGTTTTGCCCAAGGAGGACGGGCAGAGCTCGATGACTGAGGAACCCGGGGGACAGCGCTTGAACCTGGAGAAGGTGAGTGAAGCGTGGGGACTTTTTTATTCAATGTTAGAAGGGGAAGACTCAAGAATAATTAAAAAAATCTTGGAGTTAGAGTGTAAACTTTACAGATACAATGGTTACCATTAACTCATAAGCATAATACTGTTTAATTATCCTAATATTATAAACATCATTTTGACAGCAACAATCATTTTTGATCATTGCTTTAAATCTCCAGAATGCTGTAAAGCACTCTCCACCAATAATGAGTTGGGGCTTGGTGCAAACCCAGTTTGATTGAGTTCACCTAAGCCCCCTCCCAACACAATCAGTTGCAACAAATGAATTCCCCACCCCTCGGCTACACGTCACAAGGGGCAGGGAATGCCCCTGCCACAACTAATTGGGCTGGGAGGAGGTTGTGCTGGTCACGCTTTTGAGTGGGTTTGGGTGTACTCAGGTAAAAATGTGTTTGTACCAAGCCCCAGATCATCACTACTCTCCACCAGTGATAAAACTTTGACTTTGTAGCCAGTCACAAGGTGAGAGGCAGTAGCAGAGAGCTGATATGAGTCAGAAATTTATAAAAACAGACAAGAACTGTGCAGGCACCAGAATTTACATCTGAGTCAGCATTTAAGTCCAGGAAGTAGACCTGACCCCGGATTATGTCTGAACAAAGTTGGCTCCATCCCTATGCAGAGACAAGCAGATAAAGGCATAGTCAAGGGGGATACTATGATCTCTGTGAGAGGCAGTAAACTCCTGGAAGTGTAAGGCCTCATGTACAAAGACAAAAATATGCCCCTTTTAGAGGAATTTTATGTTTTTTTATGGGCTGCATTCGGACAGCAGCTTACTGGCACAACTTACATGCTTATGCATGTACACGCATGTAAGGTCATTCTAGTGGCTAGAAAAAAATGAATATTCTAGCCAATAGAAATAATTTATGTGAATTCACCTCCAAAGGCTGTAGCTGCATAAGCACACACACAATTATGCACAAAACTGCTAATTTTTATGTGCTGGATTTTCTGCCAGCACCTGGCAGAAGGATACAACATAGATCAGAGCATTTTCATAATGCCTGTGTGCATGAGCATGACCCCTTACACATTACTTAGTATGCATGCATTAAACATTACAAAATATCTAATGCTAGGTCCACGTCAAGTTAGCCCACGTTGCTGCACACCATTGTGCTATACACCATGATATTAAATAAAACAATGCGTTGTGAATTGACAGCTGGAACCTATGGATTATAAAGGAGATTTTGTTTAGAAGAGATGAAAGGATTGAATATCCAGCTAGGATACAAGGAGAGAGACAGGCATTAATAGACACTTTTGCATCACAAGGGATTAACTGAGGGAGTGAAGAACATTTCATTGCTACCTGAGAGAACTGGCAAAACAACACATCACGTAAGAAGCATAACAATCAGCCTTACTAAGAAGTTTCTGTATCCCTGCCAAGTTGGTTGATTTTAAAAGGTCAGACTCCATATTTTAGTTACAGGACCCATGTAACAGAGAAGACTGGATCAGTGTAGCCACAGGTAATTCAAGCTGCCGCACACATAAAGTAGGAGGAACAGTCACACTAGGTCCTCAGTCCAACACACCTTTAGGTAACAAAACAGATGAAAAAAACTTTTACCGGTACCTATATGAAATGTATCAATGGTCTCATCGTTGACCTCTGCATGCAACTACTTTTTTTTTTACAATAAAGCTTTCTTTAACTGAGAAGTGGCTGTTCCTCCATCTCCAATAGACATGTTGCGGAAAAATTCGGTTTGGTTCGGATATTTCGTTATTTCAGAATTTGGGATTCAGATCCAAAATTCGATTTGGTATGGGTTTCGGACATAATTTGAATTTCGTTTTGAATATTCGTTGCAAGTAAAAAAGAAAACCATAAACAGATATTAATACTAAAGCCGAATCTCCTAGCTTTCGTAATATATGTATATGGCTCCTAGACCCGAATAGCATTCAGGATCCGAATTTCCGAATTGCATTTGGAAATTTGGATCCCGAATGTCATTCAGGTCCAGGAGCCTCAGCTTTAGTATTATATGTATATACTGAACACAAATTTTTGTTACGGCATGTGACTTTTCTGGCTAATCAGATGGCTCCTATGTTGCTCCCAGGATGCATTAAACCGAAAAACACATCTGATTGGCCAGAAAAGTCACATGTGCGATTCAGTTTCATTATTGAACGAAACTCGGACGGGATGCAAAATTCAGAAACCGAAATTCAGATTCTGACACATTCGGATGCATTGGGATTCGGAAATTCGGATGTGTCCGAATTTCAGAAAATTTGGGCGAATTTTTTTTCCAGAATGAAACAAATCACCCATGTATTGGAGATTAGACATGTGCGAAGTCTGGTACAGTGAATCAACTGACTGATTCTTACATCTCTGTGGCACCACTCCAGCTGTGGAAGATGGTTAGAGCGGGAAACTCAAGCATAGAGATTTTGCAAGCATGGTCCATGAAAGGAATCCTGGCCTGAAACTGAGGACCTAGTGTGGCTCTTCCTAGTTCTACATTATTTGGGTGAAGTCTGGTTGGGTGAAGTCTTACATCACTTGGGGACACCAGCAGTGGTAGACCGGCAATTGAAGGTGGGTGGAGCTGGAAACTCAAGCACAGGATTGTGTTGCCATGGTCCATGAATGAACTCCTGACATAAAAAATATCAATTTTGGAGGATGGACCCTACATGTTGACTTCTTTGCGAATGGCTTGACCCAGAAGCTACCTATAGTATATACTCAGGAAATAAATGCAAAACACCACAAAGTGAGGGGGAGCTCCAGCCTCTACTCTGTCCTTGTGACCAGTGGTCATTATGACAAATACTGAGGGACACAGCAATACAAATTTGACAGAGGCTCTACCCCTTGCCCACTGTTCCCAAAACTAGAAGAAAGGTGTTGGCGGTAACTCTGTTTTAATCATAACTACTGGAGAGAGCTATTTCATATGGCAATCACAGACAATTGTGCAATGTGTCCAAGATACATTTCAGCCATGGTGTGATGTGACTGAAAATGTGAGACTGGCCAACGATGGTGTGGTTTCTCGCCAAGAATAACAGGAGGTAAGACACCTACCCATCCTTGAATGGCGTGGCTTCCTGGAAGTGCCACAATCTTTTCTATGCTTTGACCAACAACAAAAAAACCTCAGTGAAAGCTCCATTCATTTTTCTTAGTACAAAATGCCACACTGGCTATTAAACAGAACCCCTAACTTGTGGCATATGTCTCAATGCAACAGTCATTTATTTTGACAATTGGAAAGACATAGCCAAACTTCTATAAGGCCCAGTTTTTAAAGGTAATGCTCAGTTTGGTTCTATTGGTTGCACATGGGTAACCAGTCTACTAAGCATACTACCACCAATAAGCTTATTATTTCCCATGGATTCAGATTTTCCTATAAGTGACCAAATTTCACTGGTCAAGGATCAAATACAAATCTTCCGGACATCAAGAGAAGAGTGCATAGAAGAATATATCCTGCCAAAATAATACTTTTACTTCAAACATTTTCAGTCCTGACAAGTTTCTAAAACTTTCAAGTGTTCTTTACTACTGCCTCTATTAACAATGCCTACAAGTGTATGCATAGCCAAATCTTTTTAGTCTTTAGAGTCTCTATAAACCTATTATTAGTGTCTGTGTTCCCACTGGGGAGAATCTCTCTCTGTTGTTTTGGTGTCCATCATTTGTGGTACACAAAGTTATGGGAAATGTAAAATGTTTCAGTTGTTACCAGAACGAGAGGGGAGGATAAACCTGCCAATGGAGACACCTTTTCCGGTGACAACTGAATCCCTTTCACTTCCTACTATGTCTCTGGAAACAGGAAGTAAGGAATATTGCACACAGACTATGAAAAATAAACCGACAGGACATGTAGCCATTCCCTACTCTAGCCAAAACTAGAAAAATAAAGTTTTAGAATTTGCACAGACTTTAGGAGCTCTGACCCCTAAATTATTAAAGTATAAAGGGAAACATCCAATCGCCTGCATTAGTTCTCCATTTTTTCCTGCACATGATTGGATGTCTGAATACAGGTTCACTTCTCACATTAGTAAATCAGGACCCCCGACCCTTTTTATTTTTTTTCAATGGACTTGGAGGTGCAAATAAAAAGTGCTAAGATAATGTTCTATTTTTGATTAGTTATCCAAAGCTGTACACATTTTAAAAGTATAATGAATTTCTGCAGTGTTTAATTCTGCCTTCCAACACTTTGCTTTTAATTAAGTGAGCTTTTGATATTCTTTTAGCATTCGGTACCTGTGTTTGTAGGTCCGCGATGGCCTTCTCATAGCTGCTGTAGTCTTTCTTCTTATTCTGACTCTTATTTTTTTGCCAGTCGATGATCTTTTTCTCCAGCTCTGCGTTGGCCTCCTCCAACGATCGCACTTTCTCTAAGTACGAGGCGAGTCGGTCATTTAAATTCTGCATGGTGTGCTTCTCATTACCAGACAGCAGGCTGTCATTGAGATAATCCTTGGTGAAGTCAATTCTTCCCAAGGAAGATGAAAGAGATCTGGATCTAGACAGTGAATTTCCAGTACCCATGCTGTAACTGGAGGAGCCATGGGGCTCCCCTATTCCCCCATTGATAGAGGTGCAGGATGACAAAAACTTGCTAGAGTAGAGGCTCATGATCAGCTGTGAATCTTCACCAAACGTCAACTGTCATCAGCACGTTGCTGTATTGTAGATGTGTGGATAGTAGATTGCTAGTGTACTTTATGTCTTCCCCAGTGGGAGTTGCCGAGGCAGGCAAATAGGATTGTGTCATCTCATTAAGAATGTTGCTCAATCCTCCACCTCGGTGTTATTATTTTGAATAACAACCGAACCTCTCACTCCCCTTTTTTTTTTTTTAACCCTCATTCACATTATGCTGACAAGGTGTGTCTAAGGTGGAGGAAGCTTTGCTAAGTTTCAAACTCTATTGTAAACGTATACAAGTGTAGTGTCTGCTCGACGTACCTTTTAGAATTGAGCTGCAAATAATTCTATGGCATCTCTCCAGATAATTACACTGTCTGAGAGCTTAACCTCTTCAGTCCTGCTGCAAAATAAATTAAGGGATTGGCATGTCGGGACTGTAAAATATTAAACAGTACGGCTAGCCACACACTGTTCGATTTCTATCGTTCATCCTTGCGAAGCTGAGAATTCATTAGGCTCCATGCTAAATGGCCAAAATTGAAGCTGTGGGTGGCCAGCTTAATTAAAGTGACACTAAACTCAGTTAAAGAGTTAAATCTTAAAAAACATATTCAATTCCCTAAACTATTAACAAACATGTATATTATTTATGTATCATTCAGCTGTATGTGTCAAATCATCTCTGAATTGGTGCTGACACTGTCCTTCCTTCTGAAGGGTGGCTACTTTTGTTCCCCATGGTCCTTGTGTGTGTTGTAAAGTAGCCACCGCTCCAAGATGTATCCAAGATACATAAGAAAATGTTATG